ACATATTAAATTATCGGAACTATAAAATTAATTGAGTTTAAACGTAACAGATTTTTGGGTGACGCTTGGTTCGTGATTCCAATCTGTGCTAAACTATAACCAATGATGCCTGATGAAAAAATTACTTTATACGATAATTCTATTATTTCTGTTAAAGTAATTTTATGAATGATAACTTTATTGTATTTTTTATTTATTTGAATCATCTTCAAAATCTTCAAGAGAAATATTCAAGAGAAGTATAGCACTTGAAATTTATTTAATTCACTTTCCGTGCTTATTTTTAATAATTTTATTAAATAACGATAGCAGTCGCACCATCTCTTTTAAAAATATTACCTGGTTTTTATCAGTTTTGGTAAATAATTTATAATGAATCGAAGATTGTTACGAACATAAAAAATATGTATTATTTGAATTAACGTTAAGAAACTGCCTTATATTAACGGTTTTTGAATTCAAGATCATCTGCGTATTTTTTATTTTTCAGGAAAAATATACATCAATATTAATTATTAAAATTTATCATTAAAAAAAATCATACATCATAATTAAATTTATATAATAGATTTCTATTCACGCGTTTGCAGAAACATTCGGGGTAGTTGTAATATGAAGCGTTTTACCGATAAAATAGCAACATATATGATTGTTCTGTGTATTTACAACGTAAAAAAAAAACAAATAACAAAATTCAATTTCATATGACTGCACAAAAAAAAAAATCGTCCATTTTCTTTGAAACTTTACCAAGCTATTCTTTAGTCACAACGAAAATTATTTGTAAAAATCCATCTCACCGATCTCACGATCTACATAACTTCTATAAGACATGAATACAAGTGCTTAGATGTATGTATAAACTTATAAATGAACATATGAATGTACAGTATTTATTAATATATGTTTTTTTTTTTTAATTTCTTTTGTACTTACACAAAGCTTTTTATTTTATAAAATATATTTAGGTTATTCATATTGATTATTAAGAACTGTGCTAGATAGTTTATTATAGTTTTTTATGTTAACAGGTTATAGATATGAATAATACCGTAGAAATAAGCACACAAGTGTAAATTATGATAATTGTGAGGTTTATTCTAATAAAAATTACGTTGGGCATTCTTGTTGAAAGAAAAATAAATAAAATATAAGAGACAAATGATAATGTCTTCGATTATTATAAGTGAATTTATACGTGTATATTAATTATATAAACCTCAAGGTTAGAAGTAGATATTAGCATAGAATCATAATTTTAACGAGCAGAGATATTTTTAAAGAGTACAATATATCGTATTATTATCATTATCATTATATTATAAATTATAGTATGTATATATTCAGTGTTGGCAAATAGAACAATAGAACAAAAGCTCACTTTTTTGTCTTTATATAAAAATATTTTTTTATTAATAATTTATATTTAAATATATATTGTTAGAGTATTAGTAAAGTAATAAATTTAAAATATTTTTATATTTAATTAGTAAAATTTAATACTCAAAATTTACAATAGAAAAATAAAAAAAAATGAATATAATTATAAGTCAATAGAAAAATAAAAAAAAATGAATATAATTATAAGTCAATAGAAAAAATATATAAATATGACAACCCTGTATATATTATATATCGTATATATTAAGATATTAGCCAATCATGTTTAATGAAAATCATCTGACATAACAACCAATAAAAAAGAATTTCAGTCATGCTATTCTTCTCATGGCCTCATATATTTTAGGATAATATGCCCGAGTTAATGGAAAGAATCCTTAATAATTTGGATTATAAAACTTATGAAACACAATCCTCATTTTCATGCATAGTATGAACTATAGATGCGAAAAGAAACACAAAGGACATCTTAGTCATGAAATAATCGCTGGTACTGCATCTTTTGAAGCCATGAAGCACTTCGAAAAATGCATGAAGAAAAAACCGGAAAAAAAGATAAATTTGGCTTTGCTAAAGAGGTGCATATCATTCCGCAATTTAAAGGATTATTTAAATTTAGTAAGTTAAATTTAATTTTTTTAATTTTATAATAATAGGCACTTGCAGCATTTGCTGCCGCTGAAGCGGAAAAACTCATTGAGACGAAAGGTCTTGATGCTCTTGATATAATGAAAGCGAAAAAGATTTTAAAATAGAGTGGAAAAAATTAGCAAGTAAAGAAATAAAGAATTCTAACAAATATCTTACTAATCACG